ACACATAAAACTCAGGGATAATGTTAAAAGCGGCATCCGTCCAGCCTTGCTGGAGGAACGACCAGCCGTGGCTTGAACAGGATGTACAGACCTCCACGGGGAGAAGGCTTTGGATGCTGAAGATCTCTTTAATCTAGTGGAAAAAGAAAGAACAGGAATCACTGGTTGGAAGCTGAAGCCAGACAAATTCAAGCTGAAAATAAGGAGTGGAATCGTTAACAGTGCGGATGTTTAACCGCTGGAACAGACTCCCTAGGAAGTGGCGGCTTCTCCATCCTTCCCAGCCCTCACAACCACAATCACTACTTTTCTGGAAGATGTTTTTTGCCAAGAACGAGCCAGCAGGCTCAACAGAGGGATAAGAGAGTGAAGCTCTCTGTCCTATGGTGTGCGGGGAGGCAGAGCAGCCAGCCCTTATCTCCACGTGGGTTGCTTAGACTGTGGAAACATGCAGATGAAGGTGTAGGAAAGGAAGAGTTCTGTAACAGGCTGTTGAAACTCGAGCATGCCTGAGGGACGGAGGAAGAGCTTGGACAGCTTCAGAAGAGGGAAGAAGCAAGAGGAAAAGGAAGAGGGTGGGCAGCAGCAAGCTGATGTTGCCGGTGACATGGGGACACAGAGCCAGGACCCGGCAGCCCCAGCCAGAGGAGGCTGTGCACGGCAAGGTCAACAGCCTGCTCATTTGAAGTTTGGCTGCCTTTGCCAGTTACAGCCCCCGGGAGACTGACGGACTACGGCTCTGTTACTCCGGTTTTCTGGTTATGGAAACGTCTTCTCACATGTGGTGAACACGGAGGTGAACAAACTCAGGTGGGCTGTAAAGCTGCTTTGCTGCCTCTAGGAGAGAGCGTGGGGATATGCTCCTACACCCTTCCTAATGGCTCTGGAGACGGGAGGGTCTGGTGAACAGGTCTGTCTGAAGGTCTGCCTTACCAGCCTTGTTTCCAAAAGCTGAAGTCTCTAAAAGCTCCTGCAATGAATTAAAGCGTGCAGAAAGATCAAGTGGGACTCTCTGGGCTTTCCCCATCTAATAGAAAGCTCTTGGGTCTTCCCTGGCCCCATGGTGCTCCGAAGACGTGGCTGAGCTCTGCACATCACCTTGCTTGAGACAAACGCCCATCCTGCCCATAAATCGGGGGTTCCGGCCAGGAGCCCTCCCGAGGCACAGCACGGCTCTGCCTTTGTGTTCTCCTGGCCTGCAGCTCCGAAGGCTGCAGTGGCAGCACTGCTTAATGGGTCTGCAAAGTAATTCAAGCAAGAAAGCTCCCTCAATTCCCAGGGGACTAATAGCGGACCAGATTCCTGTCTGTTATTCCTCCTTTACTGCTACAGCTGTATTGCTGGCCCAGCCCTCGCAACGGGAGCCCACTGTGACTCCAAAAGCCAAATCCTTTCTGCGGTTGTGCTGGTCAGAGCTGTGCATCTCTCTGCGGATTGCTGGGGCTGCCTCCGACAGGATACCCAGCACCACGCTGCACGGCAGGCATTCCTCTTTGCAAGGGGCATATGGGCACTGCCAGGTGGGGGGCCGTGCTCTCACAGGGTTTGCCGTACGGAAGGGGGTGCCAGCCACTGCCAGGGGTCTGGGGAGAGGTCACTGATCAGTGGAAAAGCCAACCTGACTATAGCCAAGCTGGATTCAAGAGCAACTGCTTCCCAGGCCGGTCACTGTTCGAACAAGAGCCAGTAGCGGCCAGTGCCCAGCAGCCCCAGCCTGATTTTAGCTGTGATTCACTCATGCTGGTGATAGAAGCAGCCCCAAAGCCCCCGCCCAGCTGGGGAAAGCGCCCACACCCAGCAGGTTTGATCCTGTCATGCTAGGTGTGTGTGTAATTCATCATCCACACACTCAGTGTCACCAGCTCCTGGTAATTTATTGCAAGTAACACGATTTTGGCCCCCGCCGCAAGCGGGCTTGCGATGATGCGAAAAGCTGCAGCTGTCTTCAGTGCTTCCCTGCAGTAAACTGAAGAGCTTGAGTGTCTCAAAGCCCACACTGATGACTCCTTGTCCAGCCTTGGGTCGTTTTTCTGGCCCTCCTTTGAACTCTCTTTGGTATGTCCACATCCCTCTCAAAATGGAGACTTTGGAGCTAGCCTCACCAGCCAGGCAAGATAAAATCACTGCTCTCCCCTCACCTCCTGCAGATAGATGCTGGAGGGACAGGTCAGTCCTCACGCTGCCCTGGGGGCATTGCCTGTGCCAAAATACTTTACACTCAGCCGTGGTCATCTCATGCTTTGCAGAACAGCTCACCCTGCATCTGCTCACAATGCCATTGCTTCCCAGAGAGACAAGCATCTTTCCTTGTGCGCAGCCCAGGACATGCTGCACCCTCTATCTGCCTGTGAGCTGCCAGGGGCTCAGCTCCCCCAGCTCTGCAGGGGAGCAGGGTTTGTCAGAGCATCCTTGGGAAGAGTGTATGCCAAGATGAGAGATTTGGCAGCAACCGGGGCAGGTCCTGGAGCTGGGCAGCTCCCCACACCCCCACATTTCAAACCTTGCTGCTGCTGAGCCTTGAGAGCGGAGGGACGCTGGTGTCGAAGCAGCAAACCCCCAGGGACCACCCTGCCCGGAGAGGTGAGTGCTCAGCCAGAGCCTGGAGCTGCTGGTGCCAACTCCCCATGGCAACAAGGCCATTGCAAGCCCCATGCAAAAGAGCTCTTGAGACACATATGGGAATTTCAAGGGCTGCCACGAAGTCTCTGGCCTCTATCACTCCCATAACTTGGGGGTGAAAGCAGCGTCTCATCAGTGGAAACATGGAGAGGAGGTGAGAAACCCCAAGGGGCTGCTGGAAAGGCCTGAGAGCCTGAACTGACAGGTAGCTTGGAGCGCTGAACTCATTTATTTTAAACTCATGACTGTTGGGCTAAACACTGCAGTCTGTGCTTGCCTCTGGCGTCACCGTAAATTCAAGTAATTACTCATCTAATGACGCCTGCTAATCGGCGTGGCTCCCCGGGGGGGCAGGCGCCGGCCGGGGCA